TGGTGGAATCTTATAGTGAACTTTCATATACGGACTGAAAAAAGGAAAATCATTTCTTTCTCCTATTAATTGAAAAATACTAAGTCACCAAATCTACAATGTAACAAAGAAATTAATTCGACTACAGTAAAATTGTTGTCACCACAGGTCATTGAGAGGCATTACATATACAAATTACAATATAAACTTGGTGAATTTACAACTTCAGATGGAAGAGAGGGCACTTTTTCTTGCCTTGCCTGTAAATGAGCGACATATTAGAGCCTAATTCAAACCAAGTGAAGGGTTGATACAAAGGCATATTTAACAATGATGATAAATTTAACAATTGTGTTTTGTATTACTTATTACATATAGATTTCACACTGATTTGGAGGCATTTAAGCTATTTGGAACCCAACAGCAGGTTCTTAATAGCTGATCCCACTTAAACGAGAAGGTGCGGTATAAAAGGCGGGGCCCTGGGCATGGTGGCTTCCGTTTTATTCACGTGTAAAAATGTCGGCTCTAGATAGTGTTGCTTCTTCAAGGAAAAACGCAGGAAGAAAGGGGTTTTGGTACCAAATGGACTTCCATTTTACTCTCAAAGAAGACAAGGACCAGTTCTAGTTAGGCTTGATCGAGTTAAGGGGTCTTTAGGCACTAAAAGAAGGCGCTGGAACTGCTGTCTCATTTACTCGCCGATTTAGTTTTAAAAGAGAATCATTCTGAGGCTCTATTACATGATACTAGTAGTTCTTCTGCTATGCTCAATACTTCAGGTAGTTATAATGTGTTTAAATTAGTGATTATATATAAATAAGGTATGGGTGATGGGGACGAAGAGCAGGGCCATTTTGTGCATAGATATAGGATCGGCTGTTGGGAAACATACATTAGTGTTAGTGTGGTATGGTTGACCGAAGGATGATCAGTTACAGACAGGTATTCTTTGTTAGTATTATTATTATTATTACTATTATTATCAACATCATCAAAACTATTCATAATTTTAGATCGTCATGTGATTTGTGCTGAATTTCGATTCAATCCCAGTTTTGAGTCCTGTAATCGTAACTCAAGTTTATTAGTTACTACATATAGAAGTAAGTATTAGTTGTAATGTAAGGTAATCATATGGTGGCATTAATATTTTTAGGCTCGTACTAGCATTTTTCTTGTACTGGTATATTACCATCACAGTACTACCATATTTTTGTCGGCATCACTGGGCACAGTTGGGAAGAGGTACACAGATACAGGAGGCTCCTCACCATCCCAATATCTATTCAACCCTATATACATAATGTTTATATTTTTAAAAATTTAGAATAATATTTTTGTATTTACTTCTTCCAGTAGATCGTTGAATGTTACAACTGCTACCAGTACTAGGATCTGAATGAGGACCATGTTGGGGTCTTTTGCTGGAACCACTTATACTTGATGATGGTGGCTGATATATGGTAGTCGGCAGGGCTGTCTGGT